AGACGATCTTGCGAGTGCCTCGATCGTCTGCGCTCGAGAAAGTCTACACACGGTTCGAACGTCTAACGTGCAACGATGCAAATCGTTGACAAAGAGAAGGAAAGAGAAAGTTGGGAAATATGCAATCAGTGAAAGAAAAAAAAAAAGAAGAGAAAAGCATATCCTAATCGACGAAATATCGTCTGTAAATTTCTCGACCGCGTTCGTGATGAAATTTTATACGGGATCGCGTTTTCACGCGAGTATCGCGTCTTTTTTTCGAGCTTTGCGAATTCAGGAATTTTCATATTTAACGCGGTGAACATCGTTCCTTTCGCTTTCGAGCTCCGATTCTGTTGCGAGAGGAGCATTCTGTTGCAACTTCGGCGTTGAAAGCCGAAACGCGAAAATGTTCCGATGATTTCGAGATTGGGGGGGTGTAGAACGTCATTTCACGTTTGAAAATGTTCCTCTTTTTTTTGTTTTTTTTTTTTTGTTTTTATTGTCAACGTATTTCAACGATCACGTCAACTGCAAAATATTTGGAGACGATATTACCGGTTTCCGATCGACGATTAGCGTCGACCGGCCTGAAAAGAGCGAAACGGGAATGCCATGGAGTGTTTTCCGAGAAGTCCTTCAACGTGACGGGAAAACATTTGCCGCTACGGCACAATAAATACTGTCAATGCAAACGATTTATACGAGAGCTTTTGCTCATGTTTTCGCCCCGCCGTTTCGCGTTACATTTTTCCCGTCACAAAAACTGCATAATCTGTGACAATATTTTTTCAATAAACAAGCGACATATACGCGTATTTTTATAGATACATACGTATATATATGTATATGTATTCGTTTTTCTTTTTTCAGTTTCGTAATTTCAATGAGATTATAATTATATTATATATTAGATATACGTGCAAACATATGAATTATACGTACGTTTTCACGATATTATTTTTCACGTAAAGAGACTCATTGAGAATCCCATTCCGTGAACGGAACACGGTTTCTCGTGCAGAGAATCCGTTTGAAACGGTTATTAATCGACGTTCGCGCGGGCTAGGATCGTCCACTTGGTGCCACAAACAGTCGTACTTCGTCATACGCCAACCCCGAAAACTATAAGGCGTTTAATTAACTCCCCCAGTGTTCGTGGAAAGAGACGGAGGATTCAAATGCAAATGCCGTGACACGCCCACAGGACCGGCCCTTTCTTCTTCCGGGTTAAAACACAACCGGTTCGTCGAAAACCGGCGGCCGAGGCGATACTCTATAGCCCTTGAATGGAATTTAAACGCGCCATCCGAACCTATAATTTGTCGTTCGGAGGACTGAGCCGTGGAACACGACTCTAAGTCGACTGAATTATATTAATTACTAACTTCTAAGTTAATTCGACGAAATTCTGATTGTGCCTCGCCGTTTTTCTCTTCTTTCTCTTTTTGGTCATTCGGTCAACGATGGCGCGTACGATAATCGCGCGAAAGATACAAACAAAGATCAAATACATGTAATATAAACTACGTACGTCGACACAACGCCGTGTACGCGTTGATAATGCAGAAAGCACGTACGCGATCCACGGATAAAGATATTTTACTCCATTTTCTCCCGATTCGTTCCTCGTGTGCAGCGTGAGTCGCGGCGGTCACGCATGCCGCAGTAGTTTGTGTCGTTCGTTGATCAGGCAGGACGAATACGTACGGAAAACCCTTTGCAATTCATTATCTACCAATTCCTCTGATTGTATCTCTGCCACCTTATCGAGTTAAGTTTATCAAACACCATGGAAGCTGATACGTTCAGAGCGAGTCGCGTGATCACGCATGTATGTATGCATGTACGTACGTACGTCGCCAGTAGTTTCTGTTGATCATCGGTCAGACAGCACGTGTCACGTACGGTAGACTCTTTGCAATTACCGTACTGTCTACCATATCACCCGGATTTGTCACAAGTATCGTAGAAACATATTTCAATATTACAATTTAGTATGTACCTTCAACCACGGTATAAATATAGATCAAACAAGAGCTCTCCAAGAGGAAACTATCAAAAAACGATTGGAGAGGGAGGAAGAAAGGCAGAGATCGAGATGAAAGACCGATCAACGGCTTGAACGTTTCGGATTCCCCGAGGAAGCCCCGCGGACAAGATCCCGGGAGCCAAAGGCTTCCCCTCGATCGCCTGCGGAAACGGCGAGAACGTCGTTTTGGACGTCGGTCCTCGCCAGACCCGAAAGCTTGGGGAAAAGGAGAAAAAAAAAGAGAAAGAAAAAAAAATTACTAAATCCTATCTGATTCAGTGGTCCATTGAACGGCGGTTTTGATATCGAGCAAGGATATCTGCCAAGGAGTCCCTTTGAAAAGGAGCCCAAGCATCGGCAGCTATGGCTGCTGGTGTGTATCCGTGGATAGGACGTGGATAGGGCAGAAAAGGGGAAGAGGAAAAGCGGAACAAGAAGAAGGCTTATTCCCAACAATACATCCTTCGACGTAACGCGAGGGTGTACCGATTGACAGACAGCTCCTGTCTACCAGATACCCAAGCAAAATCTACCCCTGTGTTGTGTGTATCGGTCAGCCCCCTCCTCGGAAGATCGGCAGACCCCATCCAGACCAGCAGCCACGGATCTTTAGTGAATCACGAAGAGATGGAGGAACACCGGTATCAGAGGGAAACAAGAGCTCTTCTGGGGATCGTCGAGATTTTTTATTGTATAATATGATCGAGAAGACTGGTGTTTCAGCGACGAAGCGGGAACGGTTCGTTTACGCTTCTCACCGATCGTTTGGTGATCGTTGACGATAAAGTTCCGATAGAAAATTAGAAGTAACGAACGAATAGATAAGTAAGTCAATTAATCAACAAGTAACTTGGACAACTGAGTGTTCGGAGTATATACAAATACAATATCATTAAATTGTTCTAGATTTCTGTTTTGTATTTTAGCGTCTACGATTATAGCGATTGAAACTTGTGTATTTCCCCCGATTGAAAGTAAAACTGAATTGATTGAAAATTAAAAATACTAAATTAACGTAGCGTTGCTCTAAGTTGCTACAGTTTTTTCGAGAATTTACAATTAAATTTCAAATGGCAATGTGTAACATTTTAATTGCTTACTGGCGAGATTTCGACGAAAAGACGTTCTCCGCTTTTACATTTAAATATTATAATTATTATTAAGCAGAATGCCTCTCGTCGAATGCAATCGTTTCAATCTTTTCCAAATGTTTCGCGAAATGGCAGGAGAGCCCTTTTCTATATTCCTATCGCAAAATCGCGATCGTACATTCATCGTGTTCCCCTTAGACGACTGGTCTGGCTTCTGCTCACGTCTCTGATCGGTCGGCACTCAACACGAGAGAGGGAGAGAGAAGTGGTGGGATTGGGGAGAAAGAGAGAAGGGATTCATACGAAAGGACTTGGTGATCACTTACTGAGCGTATCGTAACGGGACACCCTGTAGAATGAAGTATAGGCGGCGGACAGCGCGTTTTGCGGTGACAGAGCGTGTCTGATGGAGGGTTGTCACGGTGTGGAAGCACCCCTCAGACTTCGATATTAAAGCCCTCCTAATATAAGAGCAAAAGCTCCGCTCTCACTGCCGTCGATATGCTCGTTTCAAACCTTTTTCCCTCTCCTACTCGAAAATTTCCGAGCAAGCGATACTCTGACTTTCGTGCGACCGGACTGCACCGGATTTGTGGCTAAGCGAATGGGCGTGCAAGAGGGTGGATCGTGGTGAATGACGGACTTGATTCACTAGACTTCACAATCGTTCCTCTCGGACCGTGTAAAAATCTTATCGCGTTAAGAACTCGATTGTTAGGTTATTCGAATTCTTAAATGTTCCGCTTTAGTCCCAAAGTAAAATGTAAAATTCCCTAGAAGGCAGTTTAATAATTTTAGTAACAAAGCACGCGAGCGAACAGAATCGTTTTTTTAGAAATCTTCAAGGAATTATCTTATATAGTATAGGGGCTGTCTAATTTTGTGAAAAGCCACGCGAGGATTTGTACAATCGGCAGAATTGATTGCTATAGCCAGCAACGATCTTAAACCGAGTGGAAAAAATAGAAAAAGCCGAAGAGAGCGGGCTTGAACGTACGCATTACACGCGTGCCGGTGTTTATCCGTTGTACATGTGCGAAAACGCACGTGTGTGTGCACGCCCCTAATCTCAGCTTCCGTATCCATCTCGCACGCATCATTGACCACGAATGCACGTCCGATAGGGCGGACCGTGGACCTTCTCAAAAATCAAGTTATCTCCATTCTCCGTGCATCGTGGGGTTTCGAATAAAACGTGGCGCTACAGAGGAGGAGGAGGAGGAGGGCTGGTTGCGCGTTCTCTCCGCCGCGAACGAGGAGCCGAGTATGTCGCACAAATTTATTGGAAATGCCGTGCACGAGATTACAGAGGATTGTCGTCTTATCATCGGATTCAACGAGACAAGGGAATTTATACGGAAGGAAAGGAGACGAATAAAGTTTAAGATTTCCTAAGGTGGATTTTCAACGTAGCGAGCATTCTTGCGAAGAGATACTTTTTTTTAAGTATACTCACGAGTATATACATACATGCATATGTACATGTATGTATGTATACACTCGTATACAATGTTGATCAAAAGTTTCGACACACTTTTATTGCATTTGTTCTTAATATATTTAATCACATATGTTAATTCTTGCATATTTTGTAACTGCGGTAAATGTTTTATTTCTTACACGCAATTCACTAAAATATCACTGACATTTAAATGATGTACCAAATAAAATGATTAACTTAATATTTCTCGTCGTACGTATTTTAACTACGGTATGCAACAATAAACGTTTATACGCGATTCATTCGCTAAAACATTTACTGACATTTAAAAAACGTGCCAAATAAGGTGTAAAATGGTACTAGATCGATATAAAAGATCTGTATATTTCAGTACGTGAAAACTTTTGACCGACTGAGTGAATACAGAAAGAAAAGAAACTGGTTGGAGTTCACTTACGGTAAATCGACGACACCAAACGCTCAGCCATTTGATGTCCCGTATCCGTTTCCCGTTAGGTAGCTTCAGAATGATGTCCGTATAGTTGTACGATCTCAGCACCACCGGGTCGCTGAACACAACAAGAAGAAAAATGTTTGAAGGAGCCTGGCCTGCGGTCTATTGTCCTCGTGTAACTATTCTAATAATACCACGTTTCCGCTGATCAGGGAGGTCTTTACACCGACGAGATCGCGCGAGATCGATCGGCCGCGTGGTCGACGTGTCGACGATTTTGGCAAACACGAGCATCGTGTATCGATCGAAGCGTGGCTCGCGAACGTTCTCGAGAAGACGAGGAGTGCCGGTCGGTACGGGAACAAATACTTCTAAATATCGTCCTCTAATAATCTTCGTTCAATTGGATCCGTTCGAACGAGATATCGTTGTTGCGCGCGGCGATCATTTTCACCGATCGCGTGTCTCTCGACTCGAAAGGAATCTCGGGGGTGAAGAAAGAAGTGGAGAACCGGCTGTGTTTACGACTATTTTCCACCGAATTCCCACAGACGCGGACGTACACGGGACACAGAGGCAGACGTGGCAACGAGTCGAAACGTAATAAAGTGCTCGCGCGGGCGAAATCCGAACGAGATCGCCGTATAATTCCCGTTTTATTAACTGTGCACCCCCGCAATCCGTTCGTCCGGCCTCCTGTCTGTTTTCATCGCCCGTTTCACCCCTCTGCCCACTCGCCGCCTACACCCCATCGACGCACACAACAAGCTCTTTGAGTTTCATTTCATCCCTTGGTTACGGTATGCCGCTTACGTCCACCCCCTTTTCTTCCTTTCTTTCTTTCTTTCTTTCTTCCCCCTCCATCTTTTCACGTTCCTATCACGCGTCAATCGTGACCGCATACGCAACTCCGTCTTGTGCTTCTTCCTCTCTTATTCTTTTCTCCTTTTCCGCTCGCGAGCAGAGTGTACGCGAAGAAAAAAGGCGACGAAAAAGCGTAGGAATCGAAGTGAAACATGATTAGGCGCGATGCTCGTTTTCTTACCTGCCCTCCTTTATTTCCGGATACGGGACGATGTAGCCTTGCGGGGTGGGTGTCGAGGTGTTGCCCACCCAAAAGTACGCGTCCGGTCCGGTACCATCGTAACAGAATCCTTTTATGAATATCGTCGTGTCGTCCACCGCGTACACGTCTCCCTTGATCCCGTGCGCGTATTCCTTCAAAGGTCCGATGTGTTTGCCGTAGTAATTGGGTCCGTTGTTTGCACGAGCTGCGAATCACAAGTCATCGTTGTCTATTGACATCTAAGGCAGTTTTTATCATCCAAGTTACAAAATTCGCACTGAGCGACGCTGTCGATCGTTCATTCGATTTTTATTTCTCAAACAAACGCGCCCGATTTTCTATCGATCGAATTCACTTATCCGAACGTCAGTTGCTACTATGTAAACGGAGAAATTGACTAAAACTACTATGTAAACGGACAAAATGGACTAAAAATCACTTCCTACTAAAATAAATCCGTAATTTTTTTGTTGCATATATATATTTTTCAATTTTATTTACAGATTAAACTACACAAAAAACAACCCTTATTAATTGAATAAATAATTAATGAAACTTATTAAAATTAATTAATTATTTGAATTAATTTAGTATTTATTTAAATATTAATTTAAATATCTAAATATTAATATTTATTTTAATATTTTGTTTCAATATTTATTTAAATTAATTAATTAAGTTTTTCTTATATTTTGACGTTGTGAAAAGAAACTTTTGGCCCAGGCTATATTTGTCTCCCGACAAGTTCAGATTAAAAAAAAAAAATCTACTACGATAATAATTTAACTAACTATCATCACCAGAATCTTAGTACCAGAGGACGTCAATCCATTTATGCATCTCGCCAAAAAGAGAAAGAAAGAAACAAAATAAAATGAAATCACTCCAACTTCCAAAAGACCCGCCACTGTAAATTCACGAAATTTAGTTCTACTGGTTTTAACCATTCAGTTGATGGTTCAATTGTCGAAGTGTCGCTCGAATGGCAACGAAGTTCCCACCGTTCCGAACTCCGGCAAATGGACACAGTGATCGAAACGTCACTCTGGCGATAAAGTTGGAAGTGTAACGGCGAGCATACGGTGGGAAATCGAGCCTAAACGAGCAAGACCACGAAAAGACGCGGCGGCCGGGACTTCATTTGCGACGTGCTACGCTCGCGGCAGTAAAAGGGGGAAGTACGGGTTTCACCCTCGTGATATAGGTTGGACGCATCGCCGCCCCGATACAAAAGCGTCGGCGGACCAGTCGGCCGTGCCGCGATTTGCATGAATTTCATTTCATTTGCTCGACAGGCCCTATAAAGTTGCACGAGCGAGCAGATCGGAAGAGGATCCGCCGCCGCCGCCGCCGCCGCCGCCGCGCGCAGCAATAAAGATCACATCGGCGAATCGCTTATATATCGGCGAACGGATTCAGACGCAACGGCCGATCGTCTTCCAACGCTTGCCCGCCTTCGGATTAGCGGCTGCGTTTAACAGCGTGAAGCCTGCATCGCAATCGCCAGCGAAAACGGATTCCGTGAGATTGCTCGCTCTCTGCGATGGATAGGATTTATTTCCGGTTTTATTGCCGCCGAGGGGAAGATCCGTACCAAGATCCGTTGCTAAAGAGGAGGAATTCGATTTGTACGAAGGAATTCTTCTCGCCACGTGTGTTACTGTACGTATGTGTTGTGTATTAAATTTATAAAGTTGCCACGACGCGTGCTCGTATATATTATTATTTAATAAAATTAATATATTATTTTTTAATAAAATTATGGCCGTATATATTATTATTTAATAAAATTAATTAATTAATTAATTATTTAATAAAATTATGGTCTTTTCCAAGTCCCAAGTTTTGTGTTTCATTTTTGTAATTTTTTTATTAACGTGGATGTATTATCATGTAGCAATATGTATCATGTACAATGTCTGAATAATTTTTGTAGTGTTATATACAATGATATATACAGGGTGAGTCTCGTAATGTGACGACATCAAGTAGTTCATAAAATATTTGTTGTGCGAAGAAATGTTTCAGATAGAAATTGCATGGCTTCCAGAAGGACATACTGTAATCAGTTTTATGTTATTTTGCTTTTTTATCAGGTATGAAGATTCAATTTTTTTAAATAGAATAGTTAACATTTCTTCCCCAATTCGGATAAAGCGTGAATTCTACATAAAAAAGTATTATACCAAATAGGGTTTAAAATACATAGTCACTGAGATATTAGCAAAAATATTTTTTTACATTGTATTAGAAAAAACCGTCAATCTCAGTAACTATGTATTTTAGACATTTGGTGTGATACTTTTTTATGTAGAATTCAACGCTTTATCCGAATACGAGAAGAAATATTAACTATTCCATTTAAAAAATTGAAGTACCTTCATACCACGATAAAAAAGCAAAATAACATAAAACTGATTACAGTACTATATGTCCCCCTGGAAGCCATGCAACTTCTATCTGAAACATTCTTTCGTACAACAAATATTTTATGAGTTATGTAATGCCGTCACGTTACGAGACTCACCCTGTAGTATAGTATCAGAGTACGATTAATCATTATAAATAAGTTCAACAATAATTTTTCCAGTCAAGAAAAAATGAATTTTCAAAGACTAAGATTAACGATTTTTTCTGATCTATCTTCTCGCATATTTGCACAAATATATTAAAGACAAATCAATAAATAATGTTTTTGTATATAACACTGCTTAATTTAAAAAGTTTATTTATTCGAGCGGGGAACGAACGCACGTGTCACGCGTGCATTCTTTCACCGTGAGATAATACATATCCAATAACAAAAATATATTTAAAAACATTATTTATCGTTTATTTTAGTATGTTTTATGAGAACCGATGCAACCGATTTGGATAGCCGGTCCGAGCTAGAGCTTCGGAGGGAAGTATCGGTCGTTGATATTTTTTCGGCCAAAAAACCGATACCCTGCAAATCTTCTTATTCGGTAGCGCAGCGAATGCATGAATTTCCCCTTCAAATCTCGCGGCAATCGGCTTAATAGTCCGATCGGAATTTTGGATTCAGGTCACACGCATACACCATCCCGGCCTGCTGTGCCGGTATATATATTTTTTTAACAACCGGATAAATCGTCGTTATCGGGCATCGATCTCGACGGTCCGACGGGATAAACATTTTTGACATTTTAAATAACCGAAATTCGATCCTGAAAAGAAAGAAAAAGGAAGAACGGATTCGATCGCTTATCGACGACATCTTTCTGACAAATATTCGACCGGACGCGACCCTACGCGGAACCAGGAGCCGAAAGAAAATTCGATCGATGTTGATTTTATCAAAAGCAGTATCCCATTATGTTCTATCGAATCTATTTCACCGCTAATATTACAAACCGATACGCCAAAGGCTTTATTTATTACCGTTACGTTTCAATTTTCCGCGCGTTGCAATAACATGGCATTAATGCAATTTCTAATATCCGAAATGGACGTACCGGCGAATTAAATATCGAGCGTTCATTAATGCAATAATACATCCGGGCAATCCGTTCGATGCGCCTCGATTAACACGTCATTTAATATCTCCATTCACTGGACCCAAGACGAAACGTCCGCGTCATCGACTCAATTTTATGGCTCAATTCTTGGATTGCAATCGAAAAAATCCTTCAATTGTGTGCGAAGTCAGCTGTAGGATAAGGTCTCTGAAGTATTGTATAAACCTTAAAATTAATATATAAATTCTTATGCTATGGATACACAATAACGCGTCAATCAGCTACGTGACTGAAAACAATTTTGTGTATAAACAATCGAAACTTCGACAAATTGTTGAAGTACCCTCAAGATTCAAATCTACGCAGCAAATATATATATACAATATATATATGGAATATCTTCCTCAAAAAATGGCATTTCATACAAAATAAACTTTCAATAAGAAAGTTTGTTTCATAAAATTCTCAAACTAAGCTCTTCTATCGTAACAAAAGAATTTGTCTCTTGAAATTCAATAAGCTCTTCTATCGTACGTGGAAAGAAAAATCGTAGATCAATTATACCAAGGACAATTTCTCTCAATGTACTAAATTCGTTGCAAAAAGTCGTACGTATAGTCTTTTAACCACGATTAACCTTCTAAGGACGGTGTAAGCCGCCAGGCGAAGTTTAATTTTACATGTTTTCATATAAATTATTGTAGTTCCTATATTTTCAAAGTGAATCAAATCAAATGAAGACTCAAGCTACTCAAAACAAGAAGAGAGAGACCGTCGATAATCGAACGTTCGGCTTTCTCAGATATTATATAGGTGTCGATATATCGTACTTAGAAAGTTAAGCGTCGTCAGGTCCTCGATTAATTATCATTGAACGTCCGACTTGGTCGTTCACGATTCGATTTTTGCTCGGGGGACGAAACACCATCGACCACCACCACTGGCGATAATAATTAACACGTCGTTGCCGCGCACCGAAACGCAGACTCCAGGCTTTTAGTCCACCCTCGGTCCCCATTCAACCCGTTCGTTGGCGGTTGTATTGGTGAACGTCGAGGTTCCGGCGACCGTTCTTCCTCGGCTGTTCTCCTCGGCTGGTTCGTTGTTGTCGTCGACGTACCACGTCTACACCCCATCGGTACAGCAGGATATTATGGTGATGCGACAATGAACGCAGTGATCGCTATCTGGCCGGTGGTGTAGGGGGATGTCGACCCTCGGCTGCGTGCTCGCAGCAACGCGTATACCAGATCGAACGTATGGATATGGCGGAGAAGGGAAACGAGTGGGGATGTACGACAGGCAACGAAGATAAACGGAGAACTGCGACTAGAAAGATTGAAAGAGAGACAGAGGAAAGGTAGAGGATTCTTGAGAGAAAATATCTACTATATCGAATACACATGAAATGACGAGAGAGGAATAAATAAATAGATACGAGGAATGATAAAATGGAAAATTCGAAAGAGAAAGAGAGAGAGAGAGTATCTACAGAATCGAACGTACGAAATGGAGGTAAAGAATGGAGGTAAAAGTCAGAAAATGTAAGAGGAACGGAGACGTGCGTTGACAAATGGAAAGTTTGAAGGAGAGAGACAGTAAAGGCAAAAAAAAAAAAAAAAATGAAAAAACGCAGGAGAAACAGAGACAAACAGAGGGTCGACGAATAGAACGTTGGAAAGAGAGACAGAGAAAAGGGAATATACAGAAGTTAGACTCTTGGGATAGAGAGACGCTAGAGAGGGAACATCTCTACTGGTAAACAGGAGCGCACACTGCCGCGCACGTATTACGTCCACAGGCAAAGTGTGGTTATGTAGGTGCGTGCCTACGCGCCTCCACCTAAACTACCCCCGACTGGTGCTTAAACTGCCTCCCCTTTTATTATGGGCCGCGACGGTTATTGGATTGTACCGTGCTATTTGTTGGCTGCCACGCTAATGGATCTATAATCACTGGGACGAATTAACGCAATGCGACGACGCTTCGCCTACGACGACGGGTTGCTACTTTAAATACTGACACATCGAGCATTGCATCTTCACGCTTCGCGTTTCTTTAACGCATTCGCTGTATAGCGTCATTTATAAATGACGCCGCTGGTTTTTCACTGAAAGCTCGGCTATGCACACGCGTGCGACAGTAAATATCTTATTCGCGTTTATTGATTTCACGTTCTATGTAAATTTCATTTACAGGCTGCGACGAATATTGGAAAATTAGACTTTAACTCGCGCTCGCTACGATTTCAATCGGAATAAGCACGAATCTGTAAACACACACACACACACACACAGACACACATCTATATATATATTTCGTAGAAATTCCTTCTTCAGCGACGCTGATGTGTAAGTACTTGAATCGTAGAAATCGATTCGCGTGTCTGTCATCTTCAAGCCTCGAGCGATACGTGCATAATACACTAGCAAATAAGTGTATCGACTGTGTACTTGTATCAGCCGATGCTGTCTGCAAGACGATGACTATAAATCGCGAGCGACTCTTTAACCCATTGCGCTGGCAACTGGTTTGCACGGACCATAACGAGTGACCAAACCATACACAACAATCCGTCGCTTTTCTTTTTAAACTTGTCGGTACGATATCACTGGATAAAAATTATCAAGAAGCTATAAATAAATAATTAATTACTTAGTTAAAATTAAAATTAAAGTTAACTTAAAATTATAATAAAATTAAAAATTAAAATTAAAGTTAAAATATAATAATTATTTGAAAAAGCTATTAATAAATATTAATTCAAGAAATTACAAATAAATATTAATTTAAGAAGTTATAAATTTATTATCTGCTTTGCTTATTTAAATTGACTGAAGTTATTAACAAATATTAATTCAAGAAATTACAAATAAATATTAATTTAAGAAGTTATAAATTTATTATCTGCTTTGCTTATTTAAATTGACTGAAGTTATTAATAAATATTAATTCAAGAAATTGCAAATAAATATTAATTTAAGAAGTTATAAATTTTATTGTCTGCTTTGCTTATTTAAATTGACTGAAGTTATTAATAAGTATTAATTCAAGAAATTACAAATAAATATTAATTTAAAAAGTTATAAATTTATTATCTGCTTTGCTTATTTAAATTGACTGAAGTTGTTAATAAATATTAATTCAAGAAATTGCAAATAAATATTAATTTAAAAAGCTACAAATTTATTATCTGCTTTGCTTATTTAAATTGGCTGAAGTTGTTAATAAATATTAATTCAAGAAATTACAAATAAATATTAATTTAAGAAGTTATAAATTTTATTGTCTGCTTTGCTTATTTAAATATACTTGAAACTGAAGGAACGTTGCAATTTGGGGGGGGGGGGGGCGAAAAATTCTCGACGTGCGTGGCACGTCATTCGAGCGCAAGAGGTTAAACGTGGTCCGAGTGACTGTTGGAGTGTCGTGAGAGGTTCGTCTGAAAGCAGGATATGATGCCAGAGTGGCGAAGGGAGTACGGTCAACATTTGAACCGAGTAAACATCAGCCAGCCGCTGCTGCTTCTTCCCTTCTCGTCCTTCTCTCTTCTTCTCTTCCCGGCCGCGTCCGCGTTCCAACCGTCGATGAGACTCCGAAACGTGCATAGGTTCTTCGAACAGTTCTCTCTCTTCCTATATCTGGCACACGTCAGTCTTCTGGCTCGGCTTGCACGGGCCACTGCCGGGGAATACCTTAGCCCCGGGGGCAGCGTGGCACAAAGCATATTGCATGTGCTCCAAATACACAATTGCAGCCGGCTGGCTGCGCCGGGAACGTCAGGATTCGTTACCTTCTGGCGCCGATGGTCTTTGCTCTTTCGATCGGAATTCAACGGCGGATCCGCCGTTCGCCCCCGGGGCACGCGTTTAATGAGGATAGTCGTAAAAAAATTCAACTCGTTATCTTGCCCCGTCGCGCAATACCGTTCGCGGCGCGACGCACCGCGAACGACCATGAAATTAGAGAATCGTGGTGTTTTCATCTCTTCTTTCTCTCTATCTTTTTTTATCGAGCATCGATCTTTTCGCAACAGTCGAAGATCCCATATTTCTAACCTGATTACCAAATTAAAGAATTGTTCTCCCTTTTTTTTTTTTTTTTTTATCGAGCGTCAGCAGCAATAAAATTGAAACGGGGAAAACCAGGATCGTTGTGTTCTGGGCTGTTGTTCGTAGAATCGATCGGTAGAAACAGCGCGAGCATTTCAACGATTCGATATCGTTGAAATTCCTATCGACGTTCACGAACGATAAGTTTGACCGCGCCGCCACGTTCCGAGCATGTAGCTAATTAATTAGAAGCGAATGTCCTTTTCTTTTTTCTTTCGTCGCGGTGAGAACTTGACTTTTTTGCGGCTTCGGCAAAGCTACAACCACCCTCCGGGCAGATATTTAACGAGAAACGTCTTGAGAAGTACTCTTGTTGCTCCTAAAGAAGCCTTTTTACCTTTCTCCGCTTCGCCTCGCTTCCACTGGAAATATTGTTCATCTCGCGGCGACGTTGTTCGTTTTGAATCGTAAATTACGCGACAACGCTCGATCGATTGTTAACCCTTTGCCTTGCATTTATTTCAGATATGAAACGTTTGTAATCTGTACTAACAGATTCTAATTCAAAGAGATTAGATTTAAAGTTCGAGTTGAAATTTCACAGAATTGCAATTTGCTTTTTCTTTCAACCTGCCCCCTGTAAGGGGACATCGTACTTTAAATTTAACTAACAGCTGAAATTATACAATTTTTTATGATTGTTGATAATTACAACGAACGTAGATATGGTGTGATATAATATAATACAATGACGCAAGAGGAATGATAAAGTTTCAAAAGAATTCTTGAGAATAGAGGCAATCGTGAGCCAGTTGACACTCATTGTTATCGAACTATTATTCGAATAATTCAGGATAATTCGCATAAACTAAATTTCTTATTGGTTCTTGCGAAATTTTATAAAATGGTGAAGGAGATATAAATTATGTATCATTAACTTTTATATACTATACTTGGTGATTGCTTTAAACGACTTTACATATAAAAAGAAATACGATCAACAAAATTTCAAGCTAAATATCATTTACAAACAGGATAATTATTTCATGTACAATTATATGCTGTATCATTTTATTTGAGATAATACTTCACGCACTATCTCGTAAATAAATTGCTGATAGATGATACAAAAAATGTTTCTAAAAGCAAAAAAGTTAAGTCGAAATCACAACTTACGCCACGATGTTACAAGACAAGAATATTATAATTCGTTATACATCGCTTCAGACTTATTGAGTTTTGGTAATTTTAAGCCCTCAGGTTAATGTTATTTTCAAAAAACGACTACAGACCTTGCAGCAACAAAAAAGTAAATCACGCGATACTGCTCGAGGGATCATTCTTCTGATCTACTCGTTGTTACAGTTACGATCTACTATATCTTCATGAAAAAAAAAACCTATCCGTTCTCGTGAGAAATACGACGCGATCGGAGAATTAATTGGCGGAATCTTCGTTTCAAATTCTTCGCAGAATCGACTTCATTTCGCGGAGAAAAACCGTAAACCGATCTCGTTTCGTTTTTCACACAGACCTATTTAAAGGTAAAGTAAAACCTGATACGACCCACACATCATTCTATTCAAGGCCCAGAGAATAATTAGCTAATTTATTCAATCGTAACCTTATCTCACCGCTTATTATAACACGGACAGATTCCATCCGATAGTTAACATTTTTCCATCGTTAATTGACGAGCGTTACGCGCGTTAACAGTTATGTTCGTTGCATAACCACTCACGCAGCGAATGAATTCTAATTTAAAGTTTCAATTAGCGCTCGTTTAAAACGCGGCCGCCTGCGCAAACCAGAATTTTTCTAAGGATTCCGCGGCGTTTCGTGAGACCGGCTTAACCCGGTGAAATAACATCGCATAATCAGACCATAAAAAAAAAATGTATACGATCGGATTTTACATGCGAGCCAGCCAGCAAGCCAGCCGTTCCCTACCGGCTAGACCTACATACATACAAACGCGAGGCACTTTCACTTTCGTTCAAACCAATGGCCGATCTCGTTCGTACGACGGACGAAGAGACGCCGTGAGATCGCTGGCGAACAGGTACGACTATCGTCAGTTTATGGCTGTCGGGCAGTGTCGGTTTTCACCCTGTTACGTCATGCAGGCGTGGAGGAATTGTTGTCTACGCATGCTTGAGAAAATATGTTTTCCGGGAGAAGTTTTTTTCGGTGTAATTAATAAATTGTAAAGGAAGTCGATGGTACAATGAAATTCACATTGAAGGTCGATCGTAAAATAGATACACAGGACTCTCCGAACTTTTAGGCTCTAGAAGCAATAAGTAACCTGTAGAATAATCTACATTTATAAAAATGACACTCGAAAGTACAGACGAGGTCAATTGGACCCTAGCTATCGAATGAGTTGAACGAACTGCAGCCGAATTGTACAATTGTAAAAATTATGAGATATAATATAAGATATAAGATATAAAATATATATATATATATATATAAAATATAAGATATAAGATATATATATATATATATAATATAAGATAGAAAATATATATATAAAATATAAGATATAAGATATATATATATAATATAAGATATAAGATATATAAATATATAATATAAGATATAAGATATATAAGATATTAGAGATATAATATAAATAATGTGTATTTAATAAGAGCAATGATAATAGGACAACAAATTAAACAAGACAAATAACATTCAATCAACACGAATTGACAACTCAAATAAACTCTTTTAACAACACAATCGACACTTTTAACAGCTATTTCCGAATGCTCTCTCACGACTCGGTTTTTCAACTCGCTCGACTCTGCTTTTTTCAAAAAGAAAAGCGCCCCATGCCTGCCTTGTGCTTCTCGCATCATGTTCATATTTTATCGTATTTCGATGATCAGCGAACATAAAAATTAAAATTATAACTACAGATTAATTATAATAACCGATACTAAAACATATATACTTTTTACAAAGTGTTATGTACTTATAAAACACGTACTTGACAATCGTCCGAAGGAAACACGTTTATAAGATACAAACGAGTGTCATATTAATCAGAAAGAGCATAATCGATCGAACGACAACCTCTGAGAAACATTTTCAACAGAGACGTTTCAGAGATCACGTCGTTTTCTTTCTCTAAATGGGTAGACAGACACCCTATATACGTAAAGCTAATTAGAGTTTGTTCAAAGAAGCGGCAATTAATTCCAAGCGTTCGTCGAACTCCAAAAAAAAAGAAGTCGGAGGAAAAATCCAGTGAGAGAGAGAGAGAGAGAGAGAGAGAAACAAGCAGGAGGAGTCCAAGTGGTTCGAAAGCAATGATCCTAATGACAAAGTGTACGCGCGCTCCGAGTGTTTCCGTTTAATCAAGCCCGGGGAACGATTTTATCGGGCACGCGTCAGAGCAGAAGTGGCTGTGCAAGTTTTCGAGGAAGCTCGATGTTCCATTGTCCTCGAGAGAGGAGAAAGTGGCGCGGATGAAGAAGCGTTCTCGGAAAAGAGAGAAAGAAGAGAAAGGAGAGAGAGAGAGAGAGAGAGACGATAGGTGTCTTGAGGAGGCTGGTGACTTAAGACGTTAACGAGACTAACCGGATTCATCGCTGGGCGAAGGGCTGGATCTTAGCGAGAAGGGTGAAGAAAGGAGAGTGCCGGGTGGCACTGATTTTAATCAAGATATGGCCTGGCAGCAGCCAGCGGCGGATCAAGTGAGCCAGGGCTTATCGATTTTCTAAGTGCTTCCAACCGAGAGACGGAGAGAAAGAGAGAGAGAGAGAGAGAGGACGCGCGTCGCCTGCGACGCTAGCTGAGAATTTGAAATTAACGAAACTGGAGAACCAGAGGCGCCGCGTTTCGCGGCGGATATTCAAACGATCTCGGGTCGAACGTTCGATCGCGAATGCTGGTATTCGTTCGTCGTTCGATTAATGGGACGACGACGACGACGACACGAGTCGTTATTCCGAGATTTGCCAGCGATTTCGCCGGACTTGTTGCAAGTCTCCTATAAACGTTCTTGCGGAACTATTCGGATATTCTGCCCTGTTGTGTTCCGCCCTGTTTGCATAAATATCCGACCGAGCGCCGTTCGCTGGATCTTATAAGCCAGCTTAGCTCGGACTCCAAGTTCCCGTGATACGATTAAAAACGGATCGAAGCGGAGAGAAAGCAGATTTGACCCGTTTTCTGATCCGAGAGACAGAGAGGGAGAGATAGAGAGAGAGAATAACCGTTCGAACGAGTCTGTTCGTTTAAATAAAGCCACGCACGTGGAACGGTTACGTAACTCGGCCGTTAACGTTTTAAACGATCCTCTCTTATGTAATCAAAACGTTAGAACTCGCCATCGTTTTTTTCAATAATCTGATTTTTTTTTATATACATATATATACACGTACACGCACACGATATGTATTTTCTTCTTATCGATCGTTAAAAATTTTGTTGTCGATTTTTTTCTAGCCATTATCGTTTCGAATACGGTATGTTTCTCGAGGAAGGGGTGAGTCCACTCCTAATCCGCGGATACTCGTCCGATGCGTGCCGGTTAATCCGGATAATTGTCGTAGACAGGGCAATCCCTTAATTGATCGGGCCAGACAGCCTCAGTTCGTCTCCGTAGAAGAATACGAATGATATTTTTTCGTCGTTTGCCCGTTAAGAGATTAAAGCCAAGGGGTGGCTCGCTCCGTTTTACAGCCATTATACTCTCGGGAAGGTGGAGAGCTAGAGGAGACGCGGACGAGAGAGGAGAAAAGGGCGTGATGAAGGGAGGAACGAACGAAGGTTGACTTGGAGAAAGAGCATGTTCAAAGGACGGCCGAGAACGTGACAGAAATACGGATCGGAGGAGCAAGGACGCCATGGAGCAAGAACGAAAAGGGGATGAAAATCAGTGGAGAACTAAACTAAAATAAATGAAAACGAGGGATGAGTGTGAAGGAAGGATTAGATCAAAGAATACTCGAAAAACATTCTAACACAAAAAAAAAGAACACAAGGGCAAACGGAGAAAGAAGATTATCGAGTGCAAAACTGAGCTGAAACTAAAATGAAAATGGAATAAGAGATTCAAAAGAAAACTCGAAGGAAGAAGAAGAAACGAGCCTATGCAAAAGAGGAGAAGAAGACGACGAAGCGAGAAGAAGTAAGGGCTGCAAGAGAAAAACTAAACTAAAATAACTATTTGAGAACTAAACTAAAATAAATGAAAACGAGGGATGAGTGTGAAGGAAGGATTAGATCAAAGAATACTCGAAAAACATTCTAACACAAAAAAAAAGAACACAAGGGCAAACGGAGAAAGAAGATTATCGAGTGCAAAACTGAGCTGAAACTAAAATGAAAATGGAATAAGAGATTCAAAAGAAAACTCGAAGGAAGAAGAAGAAACGAGCCTATGCAAAAGAGGAGAAGAAGACGACGAAGCGAGAAGAAGCAAGGGCTGCAAGAGAAAAACTAAACTAAAATAACTATTTGAGAACTAAACTAAAATAAATGAAAACGAGGGATGAGTGTGAAGGAAGGATTAGATTAAAGAATACTTGAAGAACATTCTAACACAAAAAAAAAAACGCAAGAGCAAACGGAGAAAGAAGATTATCGAGTGCAAAACTGAGCTGAAACTAAAATGAAAATGGAATAAGAGATTCGAAAGAAAACTCGAAGGAAGAAGAAGAAACGAGCCTATGCAAAAGAGGAGAAGAAGACGACGAAGCGAGAAGAAGTAAGGGCTGCAAGAGAAAAGGAACGAAGGGGGAGGAGAAAGAGAGAGAGAGAGAAAGCATGCTGAGCTTGCAGAAAGGGTGCCTGGTGATGCGTACCATAGCTACCTCGACAAATGCATTAAGACCACCCTCCACTCCCCTCCCCCTCCCTCCCCCTTCTCCCTCTCTTCGGCAATATCGAACTGACTGTGCGACTCGCTCCGTAGTCAGAATACACCTCGATTTCTCGCAGCTCGTTTACTCTAACGGGTGTCCGTGGTCTTCGAGTATCTTCACGCCTCTCGATATAACGTAGCGTTCAAGTGGTAAAAACATCGCGGGAACACCTTTCAGAAGGGGGGAAGGGAGGTAGGGGAGAGAGGTTAACTTCCCGATGAAAAGAAACGGGGGATCCCAGGGAAATGGAACTCGTGCCGGGTAGACTGTCTCCGGGGCTCAAGGTGCTCGACAAACACCGACCAGCGTGGAAAATAAAGGCACGGCTTAAGGATAAAACGAATCCTCGTGGATAAAATGTTCCTTTGCTGGAGAGACGACCACCTCCCCTCCTCCTTTGCTTCGTTGTCTTTTTACCTCGTCGCGTAGTTTCCATTCGGTTCCGCTTTTTCCTTTTCGGCGATTTCGTTCATTTCTTGTTTACGCGTCCATTTTCGATAAACGGAAGCTCGCCGTTACGGATTTTACACGGAGTAATAATAACGGCACGCTATCTTTGATCGAATAACTGCTCGTTAAAAGCTGGCTTTGGGGTAATGGCAACCAGGGAGGGGGCTCTATCTGTTAGATAGTATCGCGGATGGTCTTTTGAGCGATTCGAATCGGGGTGGGACGAGCGCGAGGGTGGACAGGTAACGTTTTGTTCAACTGTGGCCCCGAACGTGAACGTGACGCGTTGTTTCATAAAATTTCTTTGTCAGACGGATCGATTTGGTGAAACTTTTGTTTATTCGAAACAATTGAGGAACAAGAGACAGTCGGAACGATTGGTCTGCTCTTATTAACAAAATTTATCTGTTCCTTCTTTGACAAGTGGAATTTACTTTTGCACTTAAACAATGATCGCCAAACGAGATTTTTAAATAAATTCGTGTTGTTAAGAATACCACCGTAGAAAGCACCGTATATTTGGATATTTTATACGAACTTTTCACGCTACACTTAAAAATTTGCATGAAAATCCTTTAGTCAGTCACTGATCTAAGTAAAATAACGCTAAAAATTCAGTATCAACCCGTTTCTCGTTATCACACGGATAAACCAGATTCCATCTGGTGATGAATGTTGCTATTTGTTCGTTCCGCGGACGAGTCGAAATTGAATTTTAATGAGCGGAACGTCAGATATTAGCGTTTCGCAACTAGTGCGTCCAGAACGCACGACACGGTCTAATGCGAGCGCATGTGACAAATGTTCTAGGCTGACACCATTATCAGCGGAGGAGCGATGGTGACCGTGTCATCGGTCAGAACACGATTCACGGTCGACTCCCTCCGTTTCGAAGCTTTCTGGTTCCCACGAAATTCGCGTTACGACATAGGGCCGCTTGAAACGGGACGTGCATACACACACATACACACACACACACACATATACGCGTAGAATACATACGTGGACGTGTAGCTAGCACCTCATTCCAATCGATATGCGACGACACCCCCATGGGGAGACATTCATATCGCAGTGGAACTCAAACACGAGACGAGAGACACGCCACTGTAATATCGTCCCCTTCGGCCGACCTGATCACTCTGCCATCGATATCGGAATATTTGGATGTCAATTTCGACCACGATCTCCACTGCCTTCTGTTTGACTGCTCCAAGAGACCAGCCTGTATTATATTTGCCAGCGACGGTCAAACTGTATCGTTCGACTCTGATTTCGTATTTACTTGTCCGTGAAAGAAAGGTGAAAGAACTTGAAAAAGGCATGTACCTGACCAGTTTTATGATACACGCATACACACGCATATGCGTGCCTTGGTCTACAAAGCGTAATATAGGCGTGCGTAGAAAACAAGGTACGTGGGACGTTATAATGAGAAACGCCCGAATACGATAATGACTCCGTGTCAGAGCACGTGTCAGAGCCGTTCATCTCATAACACATTATGCACCCTGAAGACGTGCAAATTACGCCCGGCTCCAATACGGTGGACAAGAGGAAGCCAATCAAATACGTCGTTGTCGCTTATGTTAACACGTTGTGTCTGCCTCTTTGATCGCGCGGAAAAATACGACAATGATACTCCTTGAAGTTTTATTAAATGAAGAAAACGTTTGAAATATCATTGAACACAGAGTTACTACGATTGACAAACATCTTGAACTAAAACACAGAAATTTTAAATAACGCAAATAATTACAAAAACTATTACAAAATGGAAAAAAGCAATTGTAACGCGATATTTTCCGAAAATTAAACATAATCCGGCCCACATGTAAAACGTACAAATTTCGCGTAATATTCCAGAATATTTCTTTAATTTAACAAAAAGAATTCAATTCAAAAATCTATCGCGTTTGCAACTATCAATGCAACATACGTAAAATTGTAAAAAAAAAACACGCTCGAGATAGACAGAAGAAACGGTGGGACAAACGGGGTGAACGTCGGATTCGAGTACCTCTGCGAGACAACATCTTCCTCTTCGGCCGACGCTGGCCGGTATCAATCGATACTATCCGAAGAA